AATTAAAATTTACTCAGGCTCATGGTGAATCGCTGAATGAGTGATCCCAGACCCACAAAAGTACAAGCTCAAGACAGAAAAAAAATCCCAGTTTGAAGAGAAATGGTCAAAAGTGCCATGTCTAGTTGAGCTGCTGACAATTGATAGCTACTGTGACAGCAAGTGCCACTTTTCTTTAACTATGTGAACTCTATGATTTTGGCTATGCTCCAGGGGAAAGGCCCTCGCATAAGAACATTGAAGAACACAAACTGAACTTGCTGGGAGGAGAAATGGGAAAGGAAAAGTGATGTAGTTCTATTTTAACTAGTAATGTAAAAAGAAGGGGGAGTAAATAGCCCATAGTGACTGAAAATATTATATCTTGAGGAAAGCAATTTATAAAAATTGTCAATCATTAAGAATTGCAGCTGTATTTTCTATATAAATGCATAAATATGTGACCTGAGATGAGCTGTCTGAGGTGTCATGAGACAGATATGCATTAAACTCTGTAGCATTATGAACTTCTGCAGTTTCCAGGTAACTGTGTTGATACTTCAGCTCCTATCCCTTCAGGAACATTGTTGAGTTAAAAACCACACAGGCTTTTCATTCAGGCAGAGACTGAGACATAGAAATTGGTTGGTAGATAAAGTTCTAAATTAATTAATCCAAAGTGAGTTTTAAAAATTTGTCTGGTCTATGCCCCAGGCCTGAGAGTTTGGGAGCATACAAATCTCAGGTCAGCTTTCTAACAAGAACTGATATGCAGTTAACTCAAACAATAGTAACTCAGGGAATCTCAGGGCTCATTAAGCTTAGCGATAGTGTCATGACCAGAAGAATCCCACACAGAGCCAGAGCCTTAGGGACAAGGGATGTTTCTAATCTACACAGCCATTGTTTAATTAGAGATTGGCTTATACGGAAGTAGTTAAGACACAGTTTTGGCAACTGGGATGGTCATCTGAAGATTACTTTTTCTCAGCCTGAGATTGAGGGAACATAGGTGTGATGATCAGCAAGATACTACATTATTTTCATCACATTGCTGCCCATAAGCAATGATGTAAGTTTACATAGATGCGTATCAAACTATACCCACTTCTCTAGTCTCATTTCTGTTTTCAATGCTTTTAAAATGCATTTCATGTTTTAGTCTCTATATTCTTGTACTTATCATTTTAATGTAAGAAACAATTTGCAGGGTCCATCAAGTCCAGAACAGGGTGTTGGATCTCCTGGAGCTAGAGTTACAGAAGCATGTGGGCTCTGGGAACTAAATGTTTGTCCTCTAGAAGAAAAGTCAGTGATCTTAACTGTTGAGCTATATCTCCAGCCCTTAGATCTCAGTTTAGGAAGAAAGGTCATAGGCCAACTGCCCCACTCTTAGTAAGTACCTGGACTATTTGAAGAGTGCTTTTTTGTTGTTCTCTTTCCTTTATGCAGTAGGATTCTTCCCCTAAACACACATTTACTCTTAAAAGTTTTCATTCTATGCTGTATTTTGTGAGCTGAACATATTTGGTAACTTTTGAAAATTCTCGTTATTCCTAGGAAAAGCAGCATGAAATGACTGATAGGCTGGAATGGAACAACGAACCTGAAATCTTAATTTTTATTTCACCTGCTTGGTCCTGTAAAATTTAGGAAAAAATGTTTGAAATAACATTTACTTTTAACTTGCACACGGAGTATGCAAACCATGCATATTAATGGGGCAGCATGATGCTTTGATATCTGTGTGCACTGTGTAATGTAGACCAGACTAATATTATTTTCTGCAACAATTATTTTTTTTAGGGTGAAAATGGTCAATGTTCCTTCTAGCTTTATGAGGTAGATGGATCATTTTGTTGTTGTTGAACACCAGAGCTGACTTTTATCTGTTTATAACCAGGTATTCAGCAATTAAATCAGCCTTTCCTCATCCCACTCATACATCTCCACTGACCTCTGATCTTTTGTTTCAACTTGTAAGAGATAAATCTTTTCCATTCCACATGTGAGTAAAATCAGGAACATTTGTCTTTCCTTGCCTGGGTTATTGCACTTCTGTAGTTTTCTCCAGTTCTGTCTATTTTGTTACCAATGACAGAATTTCATCTTCTTTTAAACACTATCTCTTTGTGTATATGTCTTCCTTATTCATTCATCATCAGATAGGGTGTTAAATTGCTTTTACTCTCTGACTCTTATTAATGATGCTGCAGTAAACCTGGAAGAACAGAATCATCTTCATATCCTAATTTCATTTCTTTTAGGTACAAACCCACCAAAGGGTTTTGTACCTTCATAGTAAAGGAGAATTTCAGGGTCATTCCGTTCTTCATAATGGCTCTGTTCCTTTTCATTCTTGGAGAGCTAAAATACATCGTAATGGAAGATAATCTTATTAGTAGCCGTTCTTTCATGTCAAAGGGGACAATACAGTTTGTATCCTTAATAAGACATTCAGTGGGTCATTTCCTTTCTGTGATTAGAGATTATCAGAAACAGACACTAACAGACATTTTTAGAAAACATATTGATTTTTATTAAATATTGAAAATAAACTGGACATTGTTGGCACTATGTTTTATATAATCTGAAGGCAATGTATGTCTTAAACAAGCAAGAACAAAAAATCTGTAAAATCCAAAACTTAGTCTTTACTTTAATAATAACTCAACTAACCAATAATAACTCAAATAATCAAACATTTACAACAAATTTTATTTTATTTTAAGTATAACAATGTGATTGAATTCTTAATCAAAATGTTATTATCATAAACCTTAGGAACTATCTAAATATGAACAGCATTGAAATTCCCCAATATTATTTTAAAGAAGTAGACCATTAACTCAGGCTTAAAATAGCTTGTAATCATATGGGTTTTAATACATTTACATATTCTTATTTAATCTACCACTATGGTTTAATTTTAATCATACACATTTTAATACAAGATCTTCTCTTTGTAGATCTATACTTTTGAAATATAATGTATTGGTATACATTGCACCCTTCCTATTAGGATCAAGCCTCACAGGAAACTCTTCAGTATAAAATTTTAAATTATATTCTTTTAATTTATTTTGTGTGTGAATGTGTGTAAATGAGGGGAAATGAGTAAATATGGCACAGCATATGTGTAGAGGTCAGAACAATTTGAAGGGGTTAGTTCTTTCCTTCCACCATGTGGGCTGGATTCTGAGACCGAACTCACGTCATTGGGCTTGCACAACATCTCACCAACCAATCAATCTGATTGCGTGTGTGTGTGTGTGTGTGTGTATTCTTTAATATATATGTGTGTGTATGTTATTTATTTTTTATTGTTTATACAATATGGTGTTAGAGATTATATTTATAATTATAATATACAGTCACCAAACCCAGACACTATTGTAGATGCCAAGAAGTGCATGCTGACAGGAGCCTGATACAGCTTAGCTGTCTCCTGAGAGGCTTTGCCAGAGCCTGACAAATACAGAGGTGGATGCTGGTAGCCAACCATTGGACTGAGCACAGGATCCCTAATGGGGTCCTCAATGGAGGAATTAGAGAAAGGACTGAAGGAACTGAAGGGGTCTGCAATTCCATACAATAGTATTAACCAACCAGACCCCCAGAGCTCCCAGGGACTAAACCAGCAACCAAGGAGTATGCATGGAAGGACCCATGACTTCAGCTGCATATGTAGCAGAGGATGGTCTTGTTGGGCATCAATGGGAGGAGAGGCCTTTGTTCCTGTGAAGGCTTGATGCCCCAGGAGGTGGGAGTAGGTAGGCGGATGAGGGAACACCCTCATAGAAGCAGGGGAAAGGGGATGAGATAGGAGGTTTCTGAGGGGGTGGATTGGGGAAAGGGGGTAACATTTGAAATGTAAATAAAGAAAATATCCAATAAAAAAATAAAACAGAAAAAAAAAAACTTGATCCCTATTAACTAAGCATTTTAGACTTCCCCCCAAACCCACACAAAACAAGAGTAAGAACAAGAGAAAACCACTGAGAAGTCGTTTGCTCAAGAGTGTTTTCCCTCATGATGCTTCAGAAAAAGACTAAGAAGCCTCAGTGCAGCATAGCTCATGTCTGTATACACGAAAGCAAAACTTTTCTATGTTGTATTTTTCCTTTGTTTTATTTTCTAGCTTATTCTAGAAGGTGAGGCAATTGCTTCCATGACTTGTTAAGCTGTAGAGCTAGATAGACCTTTCTACCTTGCTTAAGGGGAGAGGGCAGACACATTGGTAGAGGTGTATCCAGAGGTTCCTCAGGCCAGAATATTTCTTACATATGCTTATTGCTGAAATACTATTTTGGAGAAATATTTTATTTGTTATTTACGGTTTTATTTTTAGAAAATCTGGACCTTTCTGCATGTCCTCTCTCTATACTTTTTACATTTAGTATAAGTGATTTTATTAACCAAATTGTCTGAATTTCTCAGAAGAATTAACTACAGTGTTGAATGGGTAAGTAAGACTAAGAAATAGAAATGCTGGGCCAGTGTGATTGCTCAGCTGCCGTGCCTGAGTTGCATCATCGTGACCCATATGTTAGGAGAGAACAGACTTCCAAAAGTCACCCTTTGACCTCCACATGTATACCACAGCACACATGCACCCACATACAGTCATACACACACTCATACAAAATAAACAAGTAAAGTTTAATACCTTTTTAAAAAGCATGTGAAAACCTATAAATCACAAAAAGAAAATACAAGCATTTCCTCCTTTGGTATTTTCCCAGAGCTGGTTATAGACACAACATTGTCTCTTCTGGGCACAGAGCTTCTACTCCAGTGAAAGGGGGTGGGAGGGGCAGGGAGTAGCTAGAATGGGAGGGGAGACTACTCTTTTGTAGAACATAGCAGTTCATTATTACTGAAGCATTCTCTTTTCAGTTTAATGTTATTGAACTTTTGCTACACACTGTACATGCAGACGAGCGAGAAGTATTCTCTCATAATTTTTCCATTTTGTCTAACCTAACCCACTTAGTCCAATTTATTTTTTCTTTCTCTAGGTCGCTTGATATTCTTGGCTTGGAGAAAAATGAAACCAGCTCTGAGGTGTCACGATTTGTGCTTCTGGGCCTGTCATCTTCCTGGGAGCTACAGTTATTTCTTTTCTTAACATTTTTGTTGATTTATGTAGTTATTGTCCTGGGAAACCTTTTGATAGTGACGGTCATCCAGGCTGATGCTCACCTGCTCCAGTCACCCATGTACTATTTTCTAAGCCATCTGTCTTTCATTGACCTCTGCCTGAGCTGTGTTGCTGTGCCCAAAATGCTAAGAGATTTCCTACAGAAGGAGAAGACAATACCTTTCTCAGGATGCCTGGCCCAGGTATTCTTTCTTCACTTTCTGGGAGCCAGTGAGATGTTCCTGTTGACTGTTATGGCCTATGATAGATACGTTGCCATATGCAACCCTTTGCATTATCTGATGGTCATGAATAACCACCTGCGTCTTCGGTTGGTGTTTGGCTGCTGGTGTGGAGGTTTCATCCACTCCATCACACAGGTCATGATTGTCATTCAGCTGCCTTTTTGTGGTCCCAATGAACTGGACAATTTCTACTGTGATGTCCCCCAGGTCGTCAAGCTGGCCTGCATGGACACTTACTTGGTTGAGGTGCTGATGGTCTCTAACAGTGGCATATTATCTCTTGTCTGCTTCTTAGTCCTGCTCTTCTCCTATGCTCTCATCTTGATCACTCTGAGAACTCATCTCTACCGGGGCCAGAGCAAGGCACTGTCCACCTGTGCCTCTCACCTGACAGTGGTCAGCCTGATCTTTGTACCTTGTGTATTCATTTACTTGAGGCCTTTCTGCACCTTCTCTGTGGATAAAGTAGTCTCTGTGTTTTACACAGTGATCACACCTATGCTGAACCCCCTCATCTATACACTCAGAAATGCAGACATGAAGCAAGCTATAGAAAAGCTGAGAAAGAAGCAAGTGGCATCCAACTGCTTTGTTAAAGGATAATGATAAAGAATATTAAAGTATGTTAAGGTTATCTTTTTTTTAAAAAAACATACGAATTCTTGATGCTCTTACTTTAATCCATGCATATGTTAGTGCCACTTTAGAGACTTGGTATCATAGAGAAGACAGCATAAAATTATAACACAATACCTCCTATAATACAAAACATAGTTGGCTTTGTTGGGGGTTAATATGAGACTGTTTTTTTCAGGAGCATTTACTGGCTGACAAAGGATCTGCAATAATTTCATGATTGGGCCAGAGAATACCTGGAAAGATTAATTGTCTATGCTTTTGTTTCCAGCATATTTTCATTTCATTATTTTATTTTACTACTTTGCTTTATTCAAGAGATATGATGTCCTTTTGTGTCTTCCCTGCTAAGAGTCCATGCTGTGAGGACACACCTGCTCATGCCGTTTTTGCAGTCTCTTTTGAATTAGTGCCAGTTCCTCTTGTCCACTCTCCATCAAAGCCTAAAAACCCTAAAATACCTCTGCACAGTGATCAAAGGGAATTGTTTTCTGCACTGCCAAATTTTTAAAACACATATCAATCTGATAAACATTTACATGTGTGAAGGTAGAAATGTTTGGATGATGGGGGTACTAGCCTTCTTTTCTCTGGAGTAGTCTTCTTTAGAAGCAACATCCTCTTTCACATGGAGTGCAGTTTGATGTGGTTCAGCTAATCTTAATGTTTAACTCTAAAGAAGAGATAGAAAAAAATCAAACGGTGCTTTAGAGCACCTTCCCTACCTTTGAGGTACTTAAGTTATAACCACTGAGTTACAAAGATGCTTTGAGTCACAAGCAGTATTATTTACTTCATTTCTTAAAAATGATCTCAGGGCTGTTAAATAACTTGCTTGATGCTAGTTATAAAAAAGCACAGTCAGTGGCATCATTTAAATGCAATAAAGATCTCTTCAGAAGCAGCAAAACACAACCCAGTCTTATTAAGGACAGGAAGCTCAGCACTCTCTCTTGTATAAAGAGTGAGTCCCATAGTTTGATGTCTCTGTCTTTTCTATAGTCTGTGTGTTCCTGATCTGTGTTGATTGGTTGTGTGTTTCTAACAAAAGGTTTTGCTCCTTATATTTTAAACACAGAAAGCATTGTATGAGGAAGGAATGGAGGATACATCACAAAAATCTTTCACAGAGTTTTACAAGTGAATAAATTACAGACTCCAACTGACCCCAACTGACTCAGATAACATGCAATATAGTAAACAAATGGTTTTCAAGAAATATCCACATGCAGTTTCAAACATTTTTGGTAGATATTTGTTGTATAAGGTTGCTTTTGATCTGGTGGCTGTTTTCAGAATACTACCCATGCCCTGCCAACTTACAAACACACACACACACACACACACACACACACACACACAAACACACATACACAGACACACACACATACAAAGACACAAACAGATACACACACACAAACACAGACACACATAGACATACACACACACACACACACACACACACACACACTGCTCTGCTCTGAGTCAGGGGCACACAGGAGTTCATAACTTACAATTCAAGCTATGCATTCATTTTAGGTTAACATTGATTACATGGGAAATGTAAGGCAAGTAAGTTTGGTTGTTGCACTGTTTTCTTAAAAGCAGAAGTTTCAACAGACAAGTTAAGCCATCTTAAAGTCTTAAGTGATTTCAAGGTGGATTGTGAACTGTGCTGTGAGGTCTAGGAGAAAAGTTGTAGCCTCTTAGAATGTAAGTGATATTTTTATAAAAATGGGCTATCATACTCAGTCAAAAAACCTACTAATTTTAGACAATAAAATAAATATTTTTCTCCTCAGAAAGATTTAGTCAAATTATATATACAGTTACTTGATTTCTACAGAATCTATTCAGAAGCCTCAAATCTACGTGTTCCCTATAAATTTTAACTCTAAATTTCATCTGGCTTTTAAAAACGTTTATGAATTTATTCTCAGCATGTTTGTATGTGTACAGTCTGACTTAGTGGAAATTCACATGTGCCACATTTTGCATGTAGAGGTCATAGGTCAACTTTCAGGAGTTGGTTATTTCTTTCCATAGTGAGTCACGGGGACTATACTCAGCTCATCTCTTTTGTGCAGTTGTGCCTTTGCCCACCTACCAAGCCCTCTTGTGGGCCCAGTTTATCTAGCTGTAACACAAAGTTCTTTTAGCCCTTTTCTGCTCATGGGGGGCATTGATTCTACTCACTAAATAATATAATGACAAACCTTTAGCAAAACTTTTATATTTTCTCACCTTAAACCCAATCAATATTTAAGCATTCATATTTACATATCTCAAGAGGAAAGATTCTGATTACTAGCTCTTAAAAAGTGTCAGTTACTAGCTATAAATTTTATTTTTTAATTTATGAGCTATTAGTTACTCTTGGTCATATCATAAAGAGCTTTTTAATGTCAGAAAAGTGCCTTTTCCACTTTTGTCCTTTGGATTTATGCTTAAGAAAGTATATATATATATATATTATTAATTAATTAAATATTATTAATTAATATTAATATTAATATTAATATATATTTTAATATAATATTAAAATCTCTATTCAAAGTGTTTTCTTCCTGAGACTTTCACTAGCAGGCTGGGAGTCCAGAGATGTGAAGTTTCTGCAGAGGTATGAACAAAGCTACTTTACTTAATCCTCTCCTGCTCTATTATGAAGTACTAAATGGACAGGGGCTCTGCAGTTTCTGGCACCAGAAGAACTCAGGCAGGTCAGCTACCACTGCAAAGTAACTTAGACTTAAGATAGTTAAAAGTTATTATTATAATAAAAGCAATTGTAATATTTCCCAAGACCAAGTCTTGCTCCTGCCTTTCCTCTTTCCTCTTGGCTATCTTAAAGAGAGAACACAAATGCTAGAGCTGGCTTCCAGCAGACTTATTGAGATAATTTAAAGATGGAACTTTAAATGACTGGCTTTGTCCTAGGAATGTTTTATTTTTCTATGTTTGCGTCACACATTTTGACACACTTGTCAAATGTTAGGCGTACATAGCTATCTGAGTTGATTTTGGCATCCTCTACTCTATTCCATTGAGCTACATATTTATTTTGTGCTACTCTCATCTAGCTGTTCCATCTTTAAATACCAATGCTTTAACTCCCATTGAAAGAGAAAGATCTTGGGGCAAGTAAAAGCCTTGATAAATCTGAGATGTTACCATTTAGGAAGAACAGAAATATGGTTTAGTCATTTTTCTATTTCTTTGAACTCTTACTGTGAGCTATGCCTGGCTAGGGACTATTCTCTCCTGTGGCTATAGGAATATACTTCAGGTGGGTATCAGAAATAGCCATACATTTTAAGATTTTTGACAAGAAGATTCCTGTTCAGATGGTTCCTCTCTCTCTCCTGCCAGTCAGCATATTTTTTCAGCAGGTGAGAAGTGGTGATTATGTATTTCTTTTAAACATGTGATATATATTAGTGGTGTGTATGTGTGTGTGTGTGTGTGTATGTGTGTGTGTGATGTGTTCAGTTCTTTATGTGTGTGATATATGCCATTATTTTATAGCTATTTTTTATTACTTTTTTTTTTACAGTCCAGTCCTTACCCATCCCTATCCACCCTCCCACAGTTCCTCATCCCATTCCTTCTCCCCTGTCTCTACAAGGATATCCTCACCTTACCCAACACTTCCCCCCGCCCCCCACTAGGCCTCCCCACTCCCTGGGGTCTCAAGTCTCTCCAGGGTTAGGCACATCTTCTCTCACTGAGGCCAGACCAAGGAGTTGTCTGCTGTATGTGTTGGGGGACTTGGTCCAGCTCATGTATGCTGTCTGGTGGTTCTGTGCATTTAATGTTTCGATTATTATGTAACTACAGGATTTTCTTTTCTGGTCCAATCTATTTGGTGTTCTATAGACTTCTTGTACATTTAAGGCCATCTCTTTCTTTAGGTTGGGGAAGTTTTCTTCTATGATTTTGTTGAAGACATTTTCTGGTCCTTTGAGCTGGGACTCTTCCCTCTCTTCTATTCCTCTTATTTTTAGGTTTGGACTTTTTATTGCGTCTTGGATTTCCACAAACTTAAAGAAAAAAACCACATGATCATCTCACTAGATGCTGAGAAAGCATTTGACAAAATTCAACATCCCTTCATGACAAAAGTCTTGGAAAGATCAGGAATTCAAGGCCCCTACCTAAACATAGTAAAAGCAATTTACAGCAAACCAGTAGCCAACATCAAGCTAAATGGAGAGAAACTTGAAGTAATCCCACTAAGATCAGGGACTAGACAAGGCTGCCCACTCTCCCCCTACCTATTCAATATAGTACTGGAAGTCCTAGCCAGAGCAATTAGACAACAAAAAGAAGTCAAAGGGATACAAATAGGAAAGGAAGAAGTCAAAATATCACTATTTGCAGATGATATGATAGTATACTTAAGTGACCCCCAAACTTCCACCAGAGAACTCCTAAACCTGATAAACAACTTCAGCAAAGTGGCTGGTTATAAAATCAACTCAAACAAATCAGTAGCCTTTCTCTACATGAAAGATAAACAGACTGAAAAAGAAATTAGGGAAATGACACCTTTCACAATAGTTGCAAATAATATAAAATACCTTGGTGTGAATCTAACCACGCAAGTGAAAGATCTGTATGACAAGAACTTCAAGTCTCTGAAGAAAGAAATTGAAGAAGATCTCAGAAGATGGAAAGATCTCCCATGCTCATGGATTGGCAGGATTAATATAATAAAAATGGCCATCTTGCCAAAAGCAATCTACAGATTCAATGCAATCCCCATTAAAATCCCAACTCAATTCTTCACAGAGTTAGAAAAGGAAATTCTCAAATTCATATGGAATAACAAAAAACCCAGGATAGCGAAAACTATTCTCAACAATGAAAGAACTTCTGGAGGAATCACCATCCCTGACCTCAAGCTGTACTACGGAGCAATAGTGATAAAAACTACCTGGTATTGGTACAGAGACAGGCAGGAAGATCAATGGAATAGAATTGAAGACCCAGAAATGAACCCACACTCCTATGGTCACTTG